TCCCTATCTAAAAAAATACATGAATGAATAATTAAAAAAAAATCCTGGATAATGGCTATATACCCTACAAGTGACTCTGAAGACCATGGCCATCATAGCAAAAGGTTCTTATGAGCTCTTTAGAATTCTTACTTATGAAAAATAAGTATTTGCTTTATATGATGAGTCACTTCCATAAACATAGGCACTAATGAACCCTCTTAGAAATGTGTGCAGTCGCTGAGGCTTTTGTTAGTGGAGAAGCCTTACAGATTCACTTATCTAGGTGCCCCTGTGACCTGGACTTGAGACTGTCCTGAAAAGAATCAGAGGGACAGTGGGATGAGGAAAGATGCTGCACCACATGTGGTTATAATTATAACCATACCCAGAAGTTCCCAACATTGGCAGAAAATCAGATAAAAATGTTAATGCAGCTGTCCATGCCCCATCGTCTGAGAGCATGACACAGCAGCTCTGTGTCAGGGAGACTGAGATCTATAGTCTAAAAGGCTTTCCAAGAAATTCTGATGATCAGCCAGGTTTGAGAAATGGCAGCCATCTCTGTTATGGTCTACCAGTGTTTTCAAAGAAACGGGGCGGAGAAAACAAAGCAAAAGATGAAAGGAGAAAAGGGAAGCAAAAAGAAGGGAATGAGGGCTTGCAAGCGAGCCTTTAACCCTCCTTCCTCCTCTGACTCTTCCAGGCTTCTCCAGCCTTGAACTGTCTTTTCAGAATTCCAACTTTCTGTAATAGTCATCTGGGAATTACACGCTTCCCTGTTTGTCCCTAACCGGGCTACTGTTTAACCCACTAAGTTTAAGGTGTGCCATAAGCATCTCAGACCATCTTTGTATTTTCCATAGTGTCTAACACGCGCCTCGGTGAATAAGCAGTAATGATCATAATTAAGAATACACCAAGTTCAGAAATGTGTTAAGATATGAAATAAATGTGCAAAATCAATTGTATTTTTATAAGCTAGCAATGACATCCACTGCAATCCTTATCAAAATTCTGACATCTTTTCTTTTGCCAAAATTGACAAGCTGGTTATACAAGTCATATGGAAGGATAGCTCAGAATAAGCACAATGACCTTGAAAAAGAACAAAGTTAGGAGATGAGTATTTCCCAGTTTCAAAACCTACATAATCGGATATAAGGCATGAGGGTACCTACAAAATCCAGCAAACACTTGATGGTATCGAGATAAACCCACACATTACGGTCAGTTTTAGATAAGGTGCCACACAGCTTTATGGGGAAAATATGATGGGTTTTGCTTGTGCGTTTGGCTGTGGCCCTGGAGTTTGAGCCTCACATATGCTAGGGAAGCACTCTACTGAGCTTCACCCTTATTCCTCTGCTTTCACTGTTGATTTGGACGCAGGGTCTTGCTAAGTTACCCAGGCTGGCTTGGAGCTCATTCTGTATCCTGGGCTGGTCTTGAGCTTGCAATTCTCCTTCCTCAGCCTCCCAATCGGCTGGGATAACAGGACTGGTGTGTGCCCAGCTATAACTAATTTTCCAAAAGATGGTGCTGGGACAGCTGATTATCTACATGCAAAAGAGTAAAGTGGGGCTCTCTTCAGCACTTACACTCCTCCCCCCCCAAAACTAAGCAAAGAAAATACGTATGTGTGAAAATGTAACAATGAAACCCATTATTTTGTACTCCAATTAAAAATTAATAAAGTACCAATTCACAGTGAATCCTTGACCTAAATGTAAGAATTAAAACTATACATTTTTCTATTTTTTTTTCATACGGTGCCATACTATGTAGCCCTGGCTAGCTTAGAACTTGCTGTGTGAAACAGATTGGCTCTGAACTTGTGACAATCCTTCTGTCTCTGCCTTCTGAGTGCTGAGATTACAGGTGTATGCTACTATGCCTGGCATAAAACTAAAAATTCTTCCTGGGATAGAGATACAACTCAATGGTAGAACCTGTGTCCAGCATGTGGAAGGCTCTGGGAGCAATCCATCGCCAAATAAGCAAATTATCTCCTGGAGGAAACAAAGGTGCACGGGAATCTTGCAAAAATCTTTGCAAAATCTCGCAAAAAGGGAATCCAAAAGAAAAGCGTCAAAAATTTTCAAAATAGACCAATTGGATTTTTAAAGTAAAAAAATTTTTGTTTCATGGGCCAGTGAGACAGCTCGGGGTGGGGATGGGGGATAAACAGACTTGGTACATAAGCCTAATGACCTCATCTCGATCATTAGAACCCACAGAGGACAAAGAGAACTAATTCCCAAAAGTTGTCCTCTGACCTCCATCTGTGCACCATGGCATACTCTCACATATACACATACAAATAATAATAGTAATAATAAAAACACTTGTGTCAAAGGACACCATCAAGGAAATAAAAGGGCAAATTACAGAAAGAAAGATAAGCCTTTCCAGATATCTGGTAAGGACCTTATATCCCAAGTACATAACCTATCCATACTCCATCATTAAAAAGATAACCTAATGAAAACATCAGCAAGAAATCTGAATGCAGATTTGTCAGAAAAATAGATACAAATGACCCCCATGCATGCAGACAGATGCACGGCACCATTAGTCATTAGGAAAGCCCGAGTCAAAGCCCCAGACACAATCTTCACACCCACAAGAATGGCCATTGTTAGTGAGGATATAAAGAAACTGAAAACCTACATGGTTTCCTCAAATGCTGAACTACACAGCCACTGGGCAATTCTTTTCTCGACATATAAGTGAGGAGAAATGAAAATTCGTACACTTGTATTATGTACAAATAACAGCATTATGTATAACAGACAAAAAGTGAAAGCAACCAATGCTTATAAACTGAAGAATAGATAAACAAAATCTGTTATAACCATGTGAAAACAGACATACTGGTAAGTGCTACAATATGGGGGAAACCATGAAAACACTATGCTAAATGAAAGAAGCTGGTCACAAGAGATCACACGTTAGGATCCATTCGTGTGATACATGCACAGTCTGCAATTCCAGAGAGGCAGACGATAGATTAGTGGTTCCCGGAGGGTAGGGATTAGGAATGAGTCATGACATCTGTGAATACAACAAAGTTTCTACAGAGGTACTGGAAATTTTCTTGAATTGGGTAGTTGAGATGGATGTACCAGTCTGAGAATATTTATAAAATAATGAGCTGTATATTTAAATAGGCAGCTTTTATAGTATGTAAAATAGTATGAGAATAGCTATTCTCAATAGCTATAAGAGAAGTAAAAACTAGATAACCCAGTTTTGCATTCTAGCTCAATCACTGTTGCTGAATATATCAAGTTCCTTCCCCTTAGGACCTTGGCATTTGCTGTTTCACTAAGTATTTGTATTGTATTAGCTACCTTTCTATTACTGGGATAAAACGCCATGACCAAGGTAACTTATAGAAGGCAGTTTCCTTGGGCTTACAGTTCCAAAGAGTTAAGAATCCTCTGAGGGAATCATGGCAGCAGATGGCAAACATGGATGCAGGAACAGCTGAGAGCTCATATCTCCAAATATAAGTAGGAAGCAGAGAGCACAAACTGCAAATGACTTGTGGCTTTGAAATCTCCACCCCACCCCACCGCCAGTGACATACTTTCTCCATCCAGGCCACACCTCCTAAACCTACCCAAGCAGTGCCACCAATTTAGGGGACCAAGTATTTAAATACCTGAGCCTATAGGGACATTCTCATTCAAATCATTACAGTCAGTTTCTCATTATTTAGGCCTCCTTCATCCTTCATCCATTGGGTGATTGTCCCCATTTCTGATTATCATTATTATAGTGGCTTAAATGAGATGTCCCCATAAATCTTGGGTACTTGAATATCTGGTCCTTAGTTGGTGGCTGTTTGGGGAGGATCAGGAGGGGTGGCCTTGCTGAAGGAAGTATGTCACTGGAAGCAGGCTTTGAGGTTTCAAAAGACTAGGCAGTGTGTTCTGTGCCTCCCATTTGCAGACCAAGTTGTGAGCTCTGAGCTAGCTATACTGCTGCCAAGCCTTGGTTGTACCATCATGGACTCTAACCCTCTGAAACTGTAAGCCCAATTGAATGATTCCTTTTGTAAGTTGCCTTGGTCATGGTGTGTTTTTTCACAGCAATAGAAAAGTAAGTAATACGATTATCAGTAACCCTGCTTTATTTTTCTTGTAGCATTGGTCACTATCTGAAATCATATTGTCTTTTAGTTTACTAGTTCCTTGTTTGTCTCTCTCACAGAGTATATGCTCCATGAGAACAGGGACCTTACCTGAGTTAATTATTGCTGCCACTTATGTCAGTGACAGGGCCTGGCATGCAGTAAGCATGCAATAATGTTTGCTGGATGTTTCATGAATGGAAGGTGGCTAATCACCAGGCTTCCCTTAATCTCTCTAAATCTTCATTTTCTAGTGACAAAGGGGCATAAAAATAATTGCACTTTGCCCATAAATGTCAGTGTGTGCAAAGACACAGCTTGTTACAGACACCCAGCAAGCGTGAATAGTGACTATTGTTAGGACCTCCACCACCACCATTAACCTGTAATTAAGATGGTGCACACGACCATAACAATCACCTGAAATGAGCCATTTTCACTGGAATATGAATGGTTGAGCCCCTTCCTGGAGGGTGGACAAGCTTTGCATTCTAGGTCCCTAGGATTTGGTTCCTCTTTAAATGAAGTTAATAAACAATAGCTATAGTTTTTATGATTTTTTGGGGGGGCGCTGAGCTTTGGGGTCTGGAAATTGAATGTATTTTTAGGTACAATGTACCTAAAAATATTCTCTACCACTAAGTTACATCCCAGATCAGTAGCTGTAATTGTTATAGTGATTACTTCAGTTATAAAGAAAACCATGACAGAAAGCAAGAGAGAAAAATACTAAATAACAATGCTCCTCGAGTCAAAGAAAGAACGGGCGGGCCTATTATCTGTTGATAATAATGTAATAACTTTCCCCACATGTTTAGTAGTTCACAAGAACTTAGTGAATGCCCATTGAGTCCAAATACAATAGCCTCTTGATGCTTACCTTCCTTACTGGCTTAAAAGAGCCAGGGTATGAAGTCAGTGAAGCAGGGCTGTGAAGTGGGTGAGGAGCTCTGTGGTGAGAGGAAGCAGGTCATGCAGATGGCAAGTGACATCGCCTACTGCTCCACACCCACCCCGAGGCTTGTGCTTTTGCAGTGGCTCTCATTACAAGTCAGGTAGAGTCTCAGAAAGCCATCTTTTACTGACTTTTGTGAAAGAAATGATATGTTAGAGTGGCGAATCCATCAGGAAAATTATGGTTATGCTCCAGGAACAAGTGACCCCGAAAATCTCAGTGGCTTACAACAACAGCTGCCAGGTCAGTCATGCCTCGTGTCCATTAGAAGTCCCCTGCTTTGGCACAGCTCCCATTCTCTGCACTCTGAGGCCAGCATTGAGGAAGCAGCTGTAATCTAGAACCTGGAAAGGAAAAAGAAAGAGGGTGAGTGAAAGCTCCCCACATGGATGCAGCTCGCTCCTACCACCTGCATTTCATCGGCTAAGGCTGCAGGGTAAGAGGGTAAGAGACTTGGGATGTTTTGAGAAAGGTAATACAAACTACTATTAATTGTCTTCAAAAATTCTAGAATTTGGTGGTGCCTGAGGGGTCTCACTTTTATATTTAAGAATGCCCTTTGGGGTAAGGAGGGAAAAAAATACCTTTGAAATCCAACTGTAAATACTCCATAATAGATTACCACATATAAAAAGATGTTAAACACTAGAGTCTAGATACAGAAAAATAGACACAAAAATACAAATGAAGACACCCTTAGAGAAGTCTGGCAATTAAGAGGATGTAGTGTAGACAACTCCTCCCCCAGACCTTGGCAGATCCTTCCTTGCCCTCTTGGGCTCCAATCACAGAGTGATTCCATGCATTTCCCTGGGGACTGATGCCTCCTGTCTTTCAGGAAATTGGTGACTGCCCAGTTGGCAACTTGTTGGATGCTGGGAAAGTGCAGATTCCTGACAGCGGTGACGTACATTCTGGATGGCACTGTTTTCTGGGAGGTGAGCATGTCTTTACCAGCACATACCAGGGCTGCGTTTCCTTAACCCTGGAGCCCCCAAGCACTCACATTTCCCTGAAGAACTGTGGTGGCTAAGGGCTGACCTCTGTACCCCCCAAGCCAATGCATGTTGAAGTCCTAACCCCCAGTACCTCAGAAAACAACAGTATTTGCAGATAAGGACTCTCAAGAGATAGTTACATTAAAATGAGGTCTTTGGGGTGGGGTATTATCCAACACGTGGATATTCAGGGCCAGGGCTGAGTGTCATGGAAGAACACTAGCCATGCCTGTACAGGAACCTGGGTTAGACTCCCTGTACCCCCAAATAAGCAAATTAGGAAAGACTATATGGGGATTCAGTAAGAGGGATCTGTGTGCAGCCTAAGGGGGCGGGGGAGGGAACTCATTCAGAAACCAAACTTGCTGACACTTTGGTCTTATACTATCAGAATTTCCGTCATTTAAACTACCCAGTCTATGGAGTCTTGTTATGGCTGGGCTCCTGGCTCACATAGACAGGAAAGGCGCATCATTCTTCTCCCAGTGCTGAAGGTGAACCCAGGGACTTCACACTGGCTCAGGCTATTTTTGTTTGTCACAGTAAAGGTGCTGCATGTCACCCTCTGATCCTCCCTGATATCAGGGGTTGGTAGTGTGAGAAATCTTTTGAGAGAAGTCCTTCACAATGGTTATCATGCATAGACCCCTGAAAGATCCTCACCTTTGGGAACACCCTATTCACCAGCCCCCAAAAAGGTCTCCCAAAGGATTTTCATTAATTGGTAGGAATTAGTCCAGATGTGTTTAAAACCAGGCGAAAATGTCATTTTAAATGATGCTTAATTACAGAGAGCTCTTAATAACATGGGGAAATGATTATATTATCATTTAAGTGAAAGAATCAGCATGCAAAATTAAACCATATAGATAGAACCACCTTATCTATGTAATCGTGTGCATAAGAGAAAGATTGAGTAGAAACACCGTCAATGTTAACATTAGCTTTCCCGTGTGATGAGATTATAGGTTATTTTTGTTTTCTTCTTCATATTCCTCTGCATTTCTGAATTTTTCATGTTGAGCATGTGTGAGCTTTATAATTACAAAATAGGCTTATGTTTTAAAGATTGGAAGCTGGAGCCGAGTGTATGTAAGCCAGTACCACAAATGAGAGACATCGCCAGGAGATACAGGTTCCAAAGCTGCTAAGTCAGATCCAAATCCACCCAGAACCCATGGCCCACTCTCCCTGCTTCCATGACTGGCGATGTCAACTCCTATTTTGAACAGGTCTCTGACAGTCCCTCCTCCCTTCAGAACTCTACACTCTGCTTCTGAACTTAGACTCTTCTTTCTGGAGTCAAGTTGTCCACGTTTTTCTTAACCAATGACCCAACGCAACCTTTGCACCCTTTCCATATACCTTGCTCCCAACCCTTTTGTGCCCTAGAGCTGCCTTGGCACCTGTAGCTTCCATGAGCACAGTGACTGCAAAGTAGTAAGCAGGAAATAAAAGGGACAGGGGGAAAATCCTGGGAGAAATGCTTCCAGAGTTTTCTTCTCTGTGCTGTAACTCTCCTGGCTCCTCCTGCCTTCCTTCTTGTTCCTCCTCTTGTCAATGAGTAACTACCTCAGACTGACACCCTGGTGAAGAATGCACAGGCCATACTTAGCCGACCGCCATCTTCCTTGCCCTCATTGTATCCGTCTGCTCACAGCAAGACTATCCTTCCCTGTCCTCATTGTAAGACTATCACCCAGCGCTTCTGTGTCAAAACACAGTCCTCTTCCTAGCGCAGCTTCCAACCTCATTTTGCATGAGCCTTGCTTGATCAGATTTTTCTTGTGATGGAGCCTGTCCACCTAGCCATGAAACATGGCATTCCTATTAGATCTCAAGGCTGATTCCTACCAATAATCAAGGTTGATATGAGCGGAATAACCCCACTCCTGTTTTCCCCAGCCAAGCGATAATATGTCAGTTACCTTTTTGTTCCGGTGATAAAATATCATGACCAAAAGCAACTTAAGGAAGAGTTTCATTTGGCTTTTGGTTCCAGGGGGATAAAGAGTGCATTGTGGTTGAGAAGGCATGACATGGACATAGGAGCAGGCAGCTGGCTGATCACATTTTATCCACATACAGGAAAGAAGGAGAGGGAACAATAAAAGGGATGAGGCTATACACGCTCAAAGTCCACCCCCAACGATGTACTTCCTCCACCTCCTAAAGGCTCTGGAACCTCCTCCAACAGCACCACCAACTTGGGGTCAAGTGTTCAAATACATGAGCCTGTAGGAGACATTCTCATTCAAACCCACCACAGATGGTATTAGGAGACTGGGTTCCAAGGGGAGCAGTTAAGTTGGTTAAGTAGTGAAAGTGGAACCTTTATGAGTGGGATTTGTGTCCCGGGGGAAAAAGGCTCTGCAGGAAGCTTTCTCACTCTTTTCATCCCAGGAAAAGATGCCATGGGAAGCCAGCACTTAGTGTCCTGGAAGGTCCAGGTGCATTTAATATCTTTGTGTTAGCATTTCCATCACTGTGACATAACATCTGAGAAGCCACTTGGGCAAAGAATGACATGTTCCTCTTGAAGTTTCAGAGTTCTCAGCCCATGCTTGACTGACTTCTTGGTTTCTGGGCCCGGGAGAGGCAGAACAGCACAGAGGAAGAAGGTGGAGAAGAGAGCTGGATCACCTTGGAAGCAGGAAGCAGACAGAAACAGCAGGAGGAGGCTAGGACCAAGACACGCCCTGCAAAGGTACCTTCACGGCAACCCACTTCTCCTAACAAGGCACCGCCTCCACAGTTCCACCACTGAACAAGTTATTCAGAATGGAGGCCCTTAATGCGTGACACCATTGGAGTTGGTCGGCACCCTCCTGATCTAAAATGCCCCTGGAAACTCCCTCAGAAGCTCACTTTACTCATTCTGGGCATCTCTCAATCCAACTGAGTTGCCAGTCAAGATGGACCATCTCACCCCACAACCACATGTGTCATCTTCCCCTCTCACAAACAAGGAAATGGAGGCTCAGAGAAACTAAGAAATGTGCCAAAGGTCTCATGGTTAGTGAGTGGCAAGCGTCTGTCTAACTTGAAAGTTCAAGCATTTCTTAGTGCTTAAGAGCTTGTCTTTGGCCACGGATGCACTTCTCAAGGACTGAGGCAACAACAACCCTAGGTGCCTAATACCTCATCATTGCCACACCTACATTCCTAACCAACTACACCTTCCACTGAGCAGCACACAGGAAGACAAAGACAATGCAATGGAAAGACAAAAAGACAATGGCTATAAACCTATAGATTTGAAAACACTAAACATTAAGAAATACATTTTCCCTTAACATTCAGAGACATTTTTTGTATTTATTTATTTATTTATTTATTTATTTATTTATTTGCCTTTGGGACAGAATCTTACTCTGTAGCCTAGGCTGGCCTGGAACTCACTATGTAGCTCAGGCTAGACGCTAACTCAGGGCAATCTTCTACCTCTTGAGCATTGGAATTAGGTGTAAGTCACCACACTTATCTGTCTGAGACTTTGGCCAATCACCTCACCTCCTTTGTTCCTCAGTTTGTGCTCTGGCTCCCCAACTGTAAAACAGCCCAGTACTAGCCAGTTCTACTTACATCAGACCACATTTCATGTTTCTCTGAGGCTAGCATCAGGACAGTGGTCCCTTAACTCCTACTTGCCATTAGAAAACAAATATATGTCCTACTACCGTACGGATTGGAAATAATTTAAACGCATAATGCATTAATCTAACCATATATAAAAGCCAGTGGTAGTGAGCTGATGAACAGAAAATGATAGTAAAATTTATCTGGCTGACCTTTTAAACAGGACAAGCCAAGGAGACATTTGACTCTGACCCCTAAAGACGGTCAGCTGGCCAGCTGAACCACAGCCCTTTTCGGTGAGCCAGCAGATATCCAGCTGCCAAGGAACCAGGCAGTGTTTACAGGATCTCAAACCACTGCTACTTTCTTCTCATCTTCCCAACAAAAACTCAGAAAGGACAAGGGCACCCCACAGGCCACTAAGCACATCCCCGATTGTCCCCCAGGGAAATCTGGTGCTGAAAAATGGCACTTTTCCAAAATAGTGGTTCCAGCCAGATGAGGAATTACAGAAAAGATGGCCTTCCATGGAAAATACCCTGCCTCCAAATCCCCAATGTCTTCATTAGGGAACTGAAAATGCAGGCACAGCAGCTGGTCTCCACCGAGCTGTGGTGCTGTGGGAGTGGCAACATGTAGGGCTGGTGACAGGGCAATTCTCTTTCCAGGCCCCAGCTCTGCCGCCGACAGCTAGCTGGGTGATCTTGGCAAAGGGGCTTCTGAGCCAGACTGTGATGCTTTCTGTTCTAAAATCCTGTTACTGTTCACCTCTGGATCAGGACCTTCCATTGAAAAGCAAGGCAGGTTCTTGAGTGTTTCACAGATCTCCTACTATTCCAAAAGCCACGCCACTCTCCTTTTTATATATCCCGCAGTGGCTCCCCTTGCATGTGATTAAAGACGCATTCTCCAAGGTGGTATTCAGAATTCCTGGTGATCAGGACACAGGTACCTACCCCCGCATACCACCCTCTAGCCTATCAATCACCTCCTTTATGCTCTGGCACCACTGCACTGTTTCTGCTTCCTCTTAGCGTCCTCGGTGCAATGCTGAGCGTGCACCGTGTGTTAGATGCTCTTCTACCTGCTTATCACACTGCTCTCTTTGCTTGAGTGGTTTGGACTAATAACAGCAGGGCTTGCTGCTGTAACAAGCAAGCTGCAATGTACCAGTAGATTAACAAAACAGAAGGTTATTTCCATATTATGTAACAGTCCCTCCAGGTTCCTTCTGTTTTACAGCTCTGCTGTCCTTAAAGCTTCCAAGTTCTTCATTCCCAGTTCATGATAACCGGGAAAGAAAAAGGCACAAAGGCACATTCACTTTCCAGCCCTGGTGAGGACATGAGGCAACATACCACTTCTGTTCACACTCCTTTAGAGAAACCTGACCTCCTGGCCTCGATGAGCATGGGAAATTAAAGCATTGCTTAGGCTCCTTCCCATCTTCCCTTACGATGTCATATTGTGGAGGGAGGAGAAGATAACCTCATGGCATTCCCTGTCCTGAGGAAAGGCTCAGTCCCCTCAAACATCAGTCCATGTGCTGCTCCGTGTTTGGACAGGTAGAGGCAGGCCCTCGCTTCCCTAGCCCACTGCAGCTGTACCTTTCTCCATTATGACATCTGTCACTCAGTTCTGTGTGATGTGTAGGACAGTCTGTCTAACTAGATGGACCGTGACTCCCCTTCTTCCTTCTTCCCTCTTTCCCTCCCTCTCTCCTTTCCTTCCTTCCTTCTATCCATCCTTTCTTTAGACAGGTTCTCTAGGTAGCCCAGGCTGGTCTGGAACTCACCATGTAGCCTATGTCAGCTTCAAATTTGCAATCCTCCTGCCTCCGCCACCCAAGTAAGTGCTAGCATTATGGACATGTGTGATAATTAATCTTCATTGTCAAGTTGACTAAATTTAGAATTACCCAGGAGACAAATCTCTGGACATGTCTGTGATGCTTCCAGAGAAGTTTAATTAAAGTGGGAGACCTGCCCTAACTGTAGGCTGTACCATCCCATCAGCTGGGGTCAAGAAGTAGCAGACTTGATCAGGAGGAAGTAAACACACCATTGCCATTCGTGACTACAGATGCAATTGACCTGCTGCTTCATGACCCCGCTGCCATTCTTTCTCTGCCATGATGGACCACATGCTTAAACTGTCAGTCAGAATAAACCCTGCCTTCCTTCCTTCAGTTTCTTTAGGCAGGAAACCCTGTCAAAGCAACCAGAAAACAATACTGGACATGTACACTAATAAGTGTGGTTATTGCTGTGACAAACCTGACTTTGTGGTTGGTAGGTCTTTGGAATTTGTTCGTGGGAGGAATGTGGATGAGTCTGGAGTTGTGGGCTGGAGAAGCCCTAGAATGCTGTGAGCACAGCTTAATGACCCATTCTGGTAGAGGCTTGGAAGACCAGAATGCTAAAGGAAGATAGACAGTAGATGCTCCACTCAAGATGTTTCAGAGGGAATAAGGACTTTACTGGGAACTAGGCTGGAAACAATTAGCATTATGGTCTATCAAAAAATCTAAGTTCATTCTGCCTATGTCCTAAGAACTCAACCTAGGCCAAATTCAAATGTAATGGACTAATTTGCTCATCAGAGGAAATTTCAATACAAGACGGCATTTAAGCTGTGGCATAGTTATTATTGCTCACTGTTCTTGTTTACGTGTGTGATGAAAACAAGTAAGGAGACTCAAAAAGGGTGCAGTTGGGCAAGGAAAGGAGTGTGTACAAGTTTAAAGTTCAGCCAAAATGGGTACAGAGAAAGCAGCGTTAAATTAATAATCTTGTGCTCTGCACTATGTCAACAAAGTTCCACCTATAGAAGGTTCCAATTTGTGGAAATGCAAGCTAATTTTCAAGGAGAAAGCCTGAACTAAGAATACCAGTAAAGGAGTCCCTGCTGGAAAACAACTATAAGGGAAGGGTTCTCGGGTTCAGCCACCAGGATATAAAGAGGCACTACAGATGTGATAAAGGGTAGCCAGACCTTATCTCAAGTTGGCAATAGAAGTTTCAGGGTCATCCATATGGTTCAGGTTTTACAAACATGCAAAATATAAAAGATACAGAGGCATGGAAGCTGGCATCAAGGTTCCAGAAAGCCGCTGAGGCCAATGTGTAGTAGAGTTAAGAGTCCCTGCAAGGAGATTCTGAAAGACCATCTCACGAAGGTGAAGAAGCCCAAGTTGCAGTGGAGATCCCAGGATGTTGGAGACCATAGGACAAGCACCATAGAAAGCTTCAGCCCAGAGTGGAGCAAATCAAAAGAGGTCACATGTGCTTTCTGCAACAGAGAGGCTTTCCAAGGCCCTTGGGACACAGATGAGTTGGTCATAAGTTCAAAATGTCAGACATGGAGTTTCAGGTTTGATAATTGCCCTGCTGAGTGCCAATGCTGCTTTGGTCCAATCTTTTCTTGCTATGTCCCTATCCTTCACTTTCAGAACGGGAATATTTACTCTGTAACTTTGTAATGGAAGTATGTCATTTGATTTTGTTTTGTAGAGCTCACAGTTAAGAGATTGCCTTAAGTCCTAGAAAAGTCTTTGGATTTTGGACTTTTAAACAGCATACTGACTGTTAAAGACTGGGGAGTTCTAGAGATGGACTAAATGACTTTTGCATTATGGGATGAAAATGAAAGTTCAGGGCCAGGTATAGAATATAATGACAAATTGATATCCGAGGGGGGTCAGAGTGACATGGGAGAGATTGACCATGTTTAACCTTCATTACCAGGCTGACTGAGTGTATGACTACCTAGAAGACAGGTGTGTCTTCCAGAAAGGTTTCTTCAGAGTGGGAAAACTCACCCTAAATTTGAATGGCACCACATTGTAGGCTGGAATCTTGAACTGAATAGAAAGGGGAAAGTGAGCAGAGCATTGGAATTTGTCTTTCTCTACTTCCTGACTGTGGTGTGTGTGACCAGCCACTTCCTGCTCAAGCTGCCTGTGATGTGATGTGAGCAGCCACTTCCTGCTCATGCTGCCTGTAATGTGATGTGGCCAGCCACTTCCTGCTCATGCTGCCCGTGATGTGATGTGACCAGCCACTTCCTGCTCATGCTGCCTGTAATGTGATGTGAGCAGCCACTTCCTGCTCAAGCTGCCTGTGATGTGATGTGACCAGCCACTTCCTGCTCATGCTGCCTGTGGTGTGATGTGACCAACCACTTCCTGCTCATGCTGCCTGTGGTGTGATGTGACCAGCCACCTCATGTTCATGCTGTCGTGTTTTCTCTACTGTGCTGGGCTGCAGCCTCATTTTGAATCAACAAGCCTTTCTTTCTTTTGGTTGTTTTCATTACATATCTTCCCATAGCAGCTCAAGTACAGCAAGCAGTCATCAAGCTGTGACTCTCGAAGAGAGGAATCTTGTCATTTCATGTTTGTACTCTGAAAGCTTAGCAAAGATCCTGATACGTAGTTTTATATTTATTGAGTGAATTATGAGCACTTTAAATGACTAGAAGAAACAATGAATAGTTACTCTGAGGAAAAAAGCTAGTTTTTAAGGAACAGACTCACATGAAAGAAAAAAAATGATTCAATATTATCCAAGTTTAGGAAAGTAAATTTGCGATACAAGCATAATAATTATAGTTAATATTTAGCATTATTATTTATTTAGAATATGTTTTTCTAATTGTACTTTGTTTATGATCTAACAAATAAAGCTTGCCTGAAGATCAGAGTGCAAAACTAGCCACACTAGTCAGC